GGGGCGGAGGACACCGTGCTACGCCCGCCCAACCCCCGACGCTGATCGCCGGCCTCCGCCGTGGACAGAGCCTGGGCGTAGCCGGAGAGCTGGACCGAGACGCTGCCACCCCCGCCCCTCCCCGGGAGAGCGCTCCGGTCGCCCGCGGTCTCAGGTCACAGCGTCCAGGGGAGGTTCCGGCGGGCTGAGCCTCGGTCAGCCCCACCACGGAGCCAGGCCCTCCGGGTACAGGGGTTGCCCTGCCCCTCACTGTGGGCGAGGTCTACGCCCTCCTCCTCTGCTCCCCAGGGCCACGAGGGCAAATGAACTCTGAGCGGCTTACGACCCATTTGTCAGGCAACGCCACTTCATTTAGAAGTCTGTACCAATTCTAGTTAGGTAATTTAAAACATTCTTACATTTTTAATCCAAGCACAAGGACGATGCTCCGGGGTGTTTAGAATAAGTGCACCTGCTGGAGCTCTGTTAGGATGAATGATGAGAGATACAAAGGACAAAGGCTGATGAGAGGGCGTCTGTGCTTGACCTGTGAAGTCTGACAGTCTGAGGAATAAACGGTGACTTGAGGCGGGTGAGGGAGGGTCGGGGCCCGCGATCTCTGACGCCCCTGACACCGCTGTTATAAACGGCGGCTTAGGTAGCACAGAAAACCTTCAGCTGCGGGAAAGGGCAAACAGGCAGAGCAGGGAAAGAGAAAAGAAGGTGCAGTCAGTCTTTAATAGTGCAGAGGAATTCAAATATAAGAAAGGTTAGCCGGGGTTTTAGCTCAGTGGTTTCGCCACCTGCTGTGCAAGCGCACGGACCCGAGTTGGATCCCCGGTACCAAAAAAAAAAAAGATAAAAAAGGGTTAAAATCTTTTTGTGAGGTTTTAATTTTAGGTTTGCTTTTTTGGGTTATATTTTGCTTTTAGAAAGTATTCTTGGACCTCAGGAGTATCTGCACTAATCTTGTCACTCCACTGAAACCCTCAAGTTTTAAAAACAAGACAGCAAACAGCTCTCATTTATGACGTGTGATCAAATATATGGTGAATGTTTCAGGTTTTAGGAACAATTATCACAGTAAACACTCGGCCACTACCCCTGCAGACTCCTCCTTGCTCCCAACAGTTAACCCACCACTCTGCCCACTTTCTGAAGCAGTTCTGGAAGTCCTCTTTCTTGAGTGTCTTCAGTTGCACTGCTGTGGCTGCCTCAGTGTCCTTAATCCATGCAAAACATTTCCCTTTCATGATCATTTTGACTTTGGGAAAGATCCAGGAGTCTCACGAAGTCAGATCTGGTGAATAAGGTAGAGGAAGATACACCATGTTCATACCATGATGTGTTTATGGGCCTCCCTTCCTGTTGGATGGCGCTTGGCAGCAGCATTTACTGTATTTTTGATCCCACCTCATAAAGACACCAAAGAGAACGTCCAGCACTGCTTCAGGAAGTTGCAAGGATGATGGGACAAACGTATTCCGAGCGATGCAAAGTACTGTGAGGGGGAATTAATGGCAACATGCCTTTTACTGTAGCAAACTCTTAAAGGTTAAACATACACCTTGTTATTTTAAAAGAAACAACCAGAGGAAGAATAAGGTAATAAATCACTGTGAAAAGTCCATTCTGACTTCTTTAGCATGAATATCTGAAAATTTCAAATGGTTAGCAAATAGGAGTAATAAATATAGTGAATATAAACAATATTTATGAGTACAATAGTCCAAGATTTTCTCACATTGCTCAAGTAAAATGGCAGTAGATTTTCCTTGACTTTCTTGACTCATCATGCATCTGTTTATAATCACAGGTAGCACTTTTTAATTTCTTCCTTTTCTTGGTGGGGTTACTAGAAATTAACTTAAACAAGTGAAACTTAGTGCAGAGCCTGGAATGCAGTAGTTTAGTAAATGAGTCTCCCTCTCCCCTCCAAAGTGGTCTTCTATGTCCCTCACAGTCTCTCTGTAGTCAAGAGTGCTCTGTAAGCACCTGATCTACACACTCACCACACAGCTAAGTATCAGCACCTACCAAAGAAACCTTCAGCATCTTCCCTCTTCCCCAGTTTCCTCCATGTCCACCTTATTTTTTTCTTAGAGGCAAAGCCCTGAGGGGGATAAAATAAGCCTTTTTAAAAAAAGATAGGGTCTCACTACCCACTACGTAGTTAGCCTGGCTTCAAACTCATGATCCTTCGGCCTCAGCCTCCCAAGTGCCAGGATTGCTAGTGTGTGCCACCTCATCTGTCAGGGCTTCACAGTTATATCAGATTGTTTTAAACCACATAAGCATGATCTGTGCAACAGACATCGGAAGTTTCCACCAATTTAACTGCGAACAGAAACATCACGATCTTTGTTTTTCATCTGTGGGAAAACAATCCCACAAGAACACTGCATACAATCCCGAACTCCGTGGCGGGGGGGGGGGGGGGGGGGGGGTGGTTAGGGAATGTGTAGGTACAGAGCACTGACAACAGGTGGCGCACTTCACCACCAAGCTGCTCTTCCAGCCCGTTCTGCTGGGACTTGGGAACCTCTGGCGAGAATTTGAAATGGTCAGGTAACACCAAGATGGCAAGCACGCAGGGGTGTAGCAGCTGCTACACAGTATGGTAAAGAGAAGGGACAACAGGACAGGAAACTATCCCAAAACAGGAGAGTGTGACTTGGAACTGCATGGCATCTGCTATCCCAACCATGGGCTATTCCCCAATCTCAGAGCACTGGACACACAAACACTTAAAAGAGTGCAGGTCAGTGCACCACAATATAGTGGAAAGGTAATTGGAACTTTTTTTAAAAAAAGAAATGCAATTTATATTTGAGTGTGTCCCATATAAAGCTGAGTTCAGTATGACAATTAATTTTTTGTTAATATTTCATGTATGTTAACAGCTTTGTGTATGGCTTATAACTGGGAAGAACTTTTAACTTTTGGAACTGACCTGAGAATTTACTATACTGGTAACCTATCCAAGAAGAAATGGATTCCCTTGCTCCGCTCTTCTCTGTCCCATTAACAGCAAGTGGTTAACAGCAAAGACTTTGGAGAAAGCAACACCTAGATTTTTTTTGTTTCTTTTGAGACAGGGTCTGTGTAGCCCAGGCTGGCCTTGACTTCTTGGTGACCCTTCTGCCTCAGCCTCCTAGTGCTGGAAGACAGGTCTGCACCACCATACCCAACCAGACACCAAGATTGAAATCCTTTCTCAGGAGTCTTCTAGCCGTGACTTTACTGAGATACCTACAGCTCTCTGGGATTCATCTGTAAAAAATGACTATGCTTACCTCAAAGGGCTTTTTGAGGACCAAGGACGTAAAGCAAGTAATGCTAACTATATATTGTGTAGAGAAAGTAGCTAGTAGCTGTACCAATGATGTTATCGGAGATGAAAATAAAGTTAATGTTGGAATGTGAAAGATGCACATTTCAGTTTAATATTACCGACCGTGTATTAAGACATGTGGAAGGTTCCCATCCAAGCTCAGGGCAAGGATCTCTCGGTTACTTTCGCTTAGACACCCTTGCTGAAGGCAAAGGGCTGAATTACTGCGATGCTTGATGCTAACCAGGAAGTGCTGAAAGGTGCATCTCTTGCTTCTAGTTGGTGTTGCGTTGGCACGGGGGTAGGGGTGGGGGGTGGATTAATTCAAAGAGTCTGTCCCAAGTAGAGAGTGAAGTGGATTCTGCAGAGTGCCCAAGTACTCCCCTGGGCGACTCAGGAGGGACAATCCCTATACAGCCTACCCTACACTGGTCACCTCTTCCCTCCCTTCCCAGCACTCACTACTCGAGGCTGGAGAGAAGGTATGTGCAAAGTAAAGACAGCAGTTGCAGAATGGCTTCCAAAGGGCTGATTCAAATTAAAGTTGCAGTCGTGAGTTCCTTTCGTGGAGCCTATGTGCTCAGCCTGAGCGCCAGGCCTCACCGGAATCGCCATTATTTTGTTTTCTTCTGCAATGTCCTATTTGGGGACACTACTAGTTTTCGAAATAACTGCACCATTTAAAGTAATTGCCTTGCCGGGGATTTAGCTCAGTGGTTCTGTCGCCTGCCTAGCGAGCGCATGGTCCCGAGTTCGATTCCCGGTACCAAAAAAAAAAAAAAAGTAATTGCCTTAAACCAGGAGGGCGGCACACACCAGTAAGCTTAGCACTCTAGGAGGCTGAGACAGGAGGATCACAAGTTTATGCCCAACCTGGACCATTTAGCTATACCTGCGCCCTCCCCAAAAGGCTGGGGATGTAATTCATAAAGAAATAAATAACGGCCGGAGATGTAGTCAGCATGAAGTCCCTGGATTCAATCCCCACTACCGCGAAATACATTTGTAAAAAAACAGTTGCTTGACCCTGTGTGCAAAGTAGCAACGCCAAGCATTCTACCTCACTGCTGAGTGAAGGCGATTTCGGAAATTCGGCTTCCAGGTTACGAAGGCATGGCAGCGGGGCGGCTGCTAGGTGGTGCGTGCCGAAACTCGCCCTAGTCAGAGGTCTCTCATTAGCTCCGGAAAGCCTGTCAGCCGCTTCCTCAGGGAAGGCCGAGCCACCCTCCGCACCCGGAGCGGAACCGGACCGGGACTTGACCCGGACCCGACCCGGAGGGCGAGACGTGGCGACTGCGCGTGCCCACACAGCCCGCCCGCCCACCTTGAGCGGGAAGGGGCAGGCAGGCCGCGCGATTGCGCATGCTCCCGTCGGCCTCCCGCCCCAACTGCGGCCCTGGATGCCACTGCAGCGACTCTCCCGAAGTCAATCTGGCGCAAGCCATTCCCCCCGGCGACGTGGACACTCTCCTCTTCCTCCGGCCCGTCCCGCTGGGAAGCCGACACGCGCGCCTTGTTTCTGAGGGTGCCCTCCCGGGCCGGCCAGTCGTCAAGATGGCCGCCAGGGGGAGGGGCCCAAACAGAGCCCTTTCATTGGCCCAGGTCTCACCGCCCCGCCCCCTTATCCCGGCGTGCGCCGTCTTGGCCTCTCACAACGCGTGCGCAGTGGCGGGGCTGGGAGGCGGGGCAGCCGGCTTCCGTGTGCGGCCGCCGCTTCCTCAGGCTCCCGGCGCGGTGGGGCAGCTCGCGGCGTGAACGCTGAAGGCGGAGGGTCGCGGGCGCGCGGAGGCCCGCAGCCCAGCAGTCCCGCGCAGACGGGCGGCGGCGGAGGTCGGCGCCATCCGGGAGGCCGACGTGGCGCCATGTCGGCGGGCGGCCCAAGCCCGGCGGCCTCCGGAGCGGGTCCCGGGGCCGCCGCCTGCGCCGCGGGGGTCTCCCCGGGCGGGGTGTCCATGTTCCGGTGGCTGGAGGTGCTGGAGAAGGAGTTCGACAAGGCCTTCGTGGACGTGGACCTGCTGCTGGGCGAGATCGACCCGGACCAGGCGGACATCACCTACGAGGGGCGGCAGAAGATGACGAGCCTGAGCTCCTGCTTCGCGCAGCTGTGCCACAAGGCGCAGACCGTGTCGCAGATCAACCACAAGCTGGAGGTGGGCCGGGGCGGGCGGGGTTGGAGGGCGGGGGCGGAGACCCGGGGACCGGCGCCCACCTGCTGGTCCCTCCCAGGAGCTTCGGGAGCGGTTCCGCAGCCTCCCGGCCCGAGCCGCGCGAATCCTCGAGGAAGGCGCTAGCAGGAGGATGCCTTCGCCCCAGCGCTTGACATCGAGTTGTGCAGACCGTGTTTCCAGAGGGTCACAGCCTCGATCCTTTTAATTATCACAGATCAACATCTGATTGCATAAAAGGACATACCTGAGCTGCTTAGGGAGCTCTAATCAAAGCTCTAGGAAAATTTAATGGCATCTATACGGTGGTATCGTTATCTTTCTTGGTTTACATTTACGGTTGCCCTCAAATTATAGGCAGATTTTTCAGAGCTCCCTGTAATTATTCAAGTAACTTCTCCATTAGGGTTTATGTGTTTGTACTTTGCTCTGTTTCCCAAAGTCTGGATCTGTTTTAGAGAGTTTGTAAAATGCTATTTGTTTTAGTCTGTGATCCTGGGTGTGGGTGTGGGGCGTGCTGGCGATTTCAAAACAACATAAGAAAACTTACCTCATTGTGCGCAAAATTTAGAGCATTATTGCAATCTTTAGGAATCACGAGAGATGAACATCATTGCATACACTGCATTTTCTAAGTAGGCAATTAGAGAATGGGTCATTCATTTAGGTAAAAATGGGGCAACCGGGGATGTGCAGAGCTCTTTGAGCAATAGCTTTCCTAAGACGTCTTTGCTACTAGTTGTAAGAATTGAGACTGCCCGGGCATCCAAATTAATATCTCTGCCAGATAAGCATTCCCTCCTCTCCTTACTTAGTGGTCAGCATTCTTTCTCTTTCCTGTTAACATGGAAAACGAGATACAATTAACCTTTGATTAACGTAGATTTTCATACGCAGGGTTTTATGGCTCTTCTACAATTGAGACTGTTAACCTCTTCTTCTGGAAGTGTTGGCTGGAATATGCTGATGTTAAGGTGATCGCTTACTGTCGGTAAATGAAAATGTCTCTTTATTAGTGACACTTCTGAAAGGGGGCTGTTAGGCGTAGCTGGTAGTGAAATTAGATTGGATGGCTTTTTGGAAATAGTACTTTATCTTTAAAAACAAGTATCAGGAGTAGCTCTTGGTCACATGGAAACTTTCATATCATTTACAACTTTTATGTCTCGGCTGGGAATAAATAGCTTTATGAAAGTGAAACAATCTCTCATTTTAAAAAATGATCTAAGAAAACAAAAATGATGTTTTTGCTATCAAATACAAGATATAATTTTGAGGAAACTTGATTGAGTAGGAGATGTTAATTTTTATCTTAAATATTTTGGACAAGTATGAAGTTGTAATAAACTGTGTGTTCTCTTTTTCAAAAATTATAATTACATATTCTGATTCCATCTACCCTCCTAGGAGGTAGCATTTTTTTTTTCTGAAAATAAGAAATGCTAATATGTGACAAGGTCAGCATGTTTTTTCAACACGTGTGAAACCCTGAATTCAGAATCTTAGAAAATGGTGAAGAGGCCTGGGGATTTAGCTCAGTGGTTTCGCCATCTGCTGTGCAAGCGCAAGGACCAGAGTTCGATCCCCGGCACCCCCCCCCCCAAAAAAAAAAAAAAGAAAGAAAATGGTGAAGAGAGAGATGCAATTTGATGTTTTTTATTTGTTTATATATATTTTCAGTTACAGGTAGCTCATCTGTCTTTGGTGTTAATCTTTGTATGCGCAGGATCTTCTGTAGTTTTCATGGAATTTGTTGTGTATTGCTCTGGAAAGACTCATTGTCAACAGTGTCTTTTACAGTGGGACTGCTGATACACTAGCTGCACAATTTCAGTTAATCTTCTGAGATCTTGGATCGTAACTGACTTATATACTTTCTTACTCTGTTTCATTTCTTTGTAAAAAGATGAATTGGTTCTACTGTTATAATTGTATGCAGCCTAGACATAATGTTTGAGGCTGCTTATGGTTTCTGTAACAAATGAGTATCAAACTTTAGTGGTTTTAGAGATTAATACTGTAAAACCATATTACCATAATAAAGTATTTTTATTATCTTTTATTTATCTTTTTATCTCCAAGTAATTTATATATGTGGGTGATTTATAATATATTTAAATTATTCTTGAGTAGCCTTCAAGATTAGACTTTTTACTCAGTCCTTACAGTTTTAGATAACACTGCAATTCATATTAATTTATTTGTTAGAAAAACACTTTTGCTGAAAAAAATACATTACATTTTAAAATTAAATATAAATGACACCCATGTGACTGCTTCATGCCAGAAGTTAAATTTAGAAAGCAGCATATCTATAGAGGATAGGGGATGGGAGAAAATATCAGGACATTTGAGATAGATCCTTTTCTTTTTTTTGAATTAATTTTATTAGTACATTTTAGGTATACAATATAAAGATATTCATCATTGGGAATTTGCACCTTTACATAATCTCTCTTGGGTCTTATTTTTTTCCCCTTCCCCTGCCCTCCCTTCAACCCCTCCATCCCTCCCTCTTTACAAAGACTTTGTTTCCATTTTTTCATTTTCTCATA